GTAAATTCAGAAAGTTTTTCTCTCGGAGCGTTCAGAGCGCACACTGGACACTGATTGAGGAGTAGGGTTTTACCGAGCCTTCTGACCTCATAATGACAGCCAAGCACCCAAGCTAACTGGCTAAAGTTGGCTAGCTTGCTAGCTACTTCCAGACTCAAATGAAAAGACACCTCTCTGACCATTTTACTCGCCCTAGCAGAGGTTGTTAGGCTGTTTTCATGTTATCTTGAGCGTTAGTGACTGTAACTGTGCTGTAGGCAACAATTTTAATGAAAAAATGTTGCAGACGTTTACTGACACCGGTCTTATTCAAAGGGTGTTGTGCATTCGTAAATTCATCAGTTATTCTGCCCTCTGGCACACTAAGACAAGAGTGCTCTGAAATCAGAGTAGATAGCCAGAGTGGATTTACGTACACACCCTTAGTGTGAATTTCTGGCAGACTAGACACTGTGTTGCGTATTGCTGCCTTTTGCAGGTAGGAGTGCGGATTGCACATTTTGGTCACTCTCAAAAATGTTGAAGGGGAATGGTAAAATCTTAAATTGCGCCACCATGTAACCCTGCACCAAGAGCAAACCTGTGGTGTAGAATTGTGGGCTATCTACTCTTTTCACTGCCTCAGCATAGAAAACTTCCTGCCCCACAATCTCAACCTGTCTCTCTCTCACAGGGCGCTTCGGATCCCCAGCTGCATGGGCGCCCCTACAGTTGACACACAGTGCTTTCTCTATCCCAAGTATACACTAGATTAGTAACCAGAAATAACTTTTCATTTCCTCCAGTTTTGCCTGGCAAAAACAGAGTAAGCCTACGTTTATCATCCATATAAAATACAGTTTAGCGATCTACTACTGACTCATCTTTATAATAGAACAATGTTACTGCCCTACAAAGGAAAAACGCCATTTATTTCTGGAGCCTATCTTGCATTTTGAAAATTCATCACCGTTTATGGCTGTAATGACAGGCTACATTTGCGCAGCGATTGTCAAGTTCTGTACCGCTCCTTTTTGGGGGTCGTGGGTCAATTTTTGAAAACCACTGGGATACGTGATAGTGGCAACAAATGAAGTTGGGTTGGATATAGTAATGGTAGGCTACAGTATTTCTTACAGTCCTCTATTTTGACTGAAATTGTGTTGGTCATTCTTAATAGGCCCAAGTGCAGCATATATTCCAGTTGAAAATAGTTTTAGCAAAATTCTTTACTCATCAGATTGCGCTGCTTTCCCCTCTCCTTGTAATAATTGCTCAATGAGTCTGACCGTTGTTGCGTAAAATTGTTTTTGGGGGGTGCACTTTTTGTTTGAGCATGTCCCCCAAAAGGTCTGTGCACGGCCCTGCCGCCTACTGTTCTGGAGTGTGAATTCATTACACTTTGTGTCACAAAAGGGAAGGGGAAAAGGGAAGGAAAATTGCCCTACCAACTAATCACACATCCATTAAAACCTCACTACTATTCCATTACTTGGCCCTATCTGATCCTGCTCCAGGCCGGCAGCCTGGGAGAACAGGACACTATCGTTCAAAACACCTTGTAACTCCTCTGCAGTCAAATCTCGTACACCCAAGTACTTCTCTGCAGCTGCCACCACAACATCTATTTTCTGTGATTTACATTCACCTTCTGTGATACAGTTGATAACCATGGCTATGAACGCTAAGAAGCCAACCTTACTGAAACACGTTATTCCTATAACTCTCTATTAGCCTCGGCCTACTCACAGGGGGCCTCTTAGGCTCCCTCACCCTGGGCCCATCTTCCTCATAATACTATAATACTCTCTTCACTGCTTCAGCATACGACGCCTTCTGTACTACTCTGATCCTGGCAACTTCAACCTGCCTTTCTCTCACCGGACACTTCTTGATCTCCAGCACCATGGGTACCCCTACAGTTAACACACACAGCTTTTTCCACATATACACCACATGCCTTTGTCTCATGCCGTCCTGCACACTTCTCACATCTAGGAATCTCCCTCCTACACACTGCTGCAACATGACTATAAGCTTGGCACCTAAAATACCGTAATGGGTTCGGGACAAAAGCTCTCACGGAATAACTGACACATCCTAACTTGACTTTGTCAGTTAAAGGCTGCATCAAAACTCAGCATGATAAACAGCGTCTTCTCTGTTTCTTCCCCGGGTCTGCGTCGCACCAAACGGAGGCATCACAGACACTGGGAATCTTCCATTTCAATTGGTCCTCCTCAACACTTAATGGCACTCCAGTTATCACTCCTTTCAACAGCGAGAGCAAAGCAAGTCACAGGTTTTTTCTCACGGAGTGGACGGAAGACACAAAAAATCATCATGAGTCCACTTCGAGTTAATTTTACCGACTCAGTCCCCGACCTCCTCTCCACCTATCCTGACACCACATATGGATTAGCCAGAAGGCAAGGACCCATTCTCTCCAATAAATCTCACTCCCACTGGGCCAGAAATGAATCATCCTTGTCATCATTGGGATGAGGCCCGAACTCGGCAGTCTTCACCGCACCTGCCACCACAGGTAATCCATCCTCACTCTCGTCAGGTTAAATTTCTCAGCTACCGGAGAAGTGTTTTTCTTTTTGTACTTGACGCCAATCTTCCTCACCAGATCGCTTCCCTCTAAGCTCAGCTCCTTTCCGTCTTCCTCGTTGTCTATTTCCACATCTCCACGCTCTTTCCGCTCCTTCATCCGCTGTAATAGCAAACTGTTCAAATGGTTCTTGTATCTTGAATTTACTGCCATGTCACGTTGACTTAAAAAGCTCTACCAGCCGCCATTACTCTTCGCGGCCCACCGCCACAGACAACGTTGCACATTGCTAAAAACGTTTGGTTCTGATTTGAGACGTCTCATTTAAAGGGACAGGGACACCATGCAAAACACAAGCAAAGAATGATGGTCGGTGAAATAGCTTTTTCATTTCAAATACTGTCTAACTGTCCTGCTGTCTTGAAAAATAAGCCTAATTTGAGGTTCCCCAAATTAAGTGGGATTTTCTTAATTCAACTGTTCCATCAAAAACATAAATGAGTGATGAGGGACCACTCCAAAGGGATCAGAAAAAAATCTGTATTACAGATGACTCACGAATTGCAAATCAAAATCAAATTTTATTGGTCGCATACACATGTTTAGAAGATGCTGTTGCGGGTGTGGAGAAATGCTTGTAAAATCCAGGCGTGAGTTCATCCTCCTCGAAGGCTGCACTTACTAAGGTACCCATGTTAACGAAAGCTGTCTTTCAAAAAGCAAGTTGATGAGTTAAGAAATTAAGGATTAAAATAGGCTTATTCTAGGAACATGTCCTGTCTTTCGTTAAATAGCAGAAAACAAATAATTCAGTCAACATTCATTCCGGTTATTAACTATGGCGATATCGTCTATATAAATACAGCTGCCGCTGTATTGAAGCCATTGGACGCAGTTAATCATAGCGCTTTATTACGGGCAATAGGTTTAGTACACATTATTGCATTTTGTATCAGAAAGTAGGCTGGCCCTCCTTGAAGTCTCGTAGATCGATGCATTACTCTTTTTGTCTATAAAGCCCTCTTGCATAAACATTCGCCATACCTTACCTCATTGTTACCCTTCAGACGTATAAGTTATCAGACCCGGACTCTGGGATGGCTAACCCTGGAGATCCCTTCAATCTCCACCGAGTTAGGTAAATCTGCTTTTAGTTTTTTTGCACCTCATGTGGATGATATCCAAATGTCCTTAGAGTTGGTGCCTCTAGGGCAATTCAGGCGGATGTTAGAGGGCCTTTTTACTGAAGAATGTGTTTGTTTCATATGATTATGTTTTGTGTATTGTGTAATTGATGTGTATATAGCTACTGTATGTACAGTATAGTGTAATTATTTATTGATGTGTTCATGCAGAGCTCATCTTGGAAAGAGACTGTGGTTTCAGCATGATTCCCTGCTTAAATAAAGGTTAAATAAAAAAGGGGGTGGGTCCTGGTGTCTTGTAACAGACAGGGTTGGTCTGTCTGTCACAATCGAGAGCTAAGTTTATCATTGCCTGAGAGGCACTACTACCAGGGACTGTCTAGGAGATCCTGCCTCTCTACTGCTGCCTGGGCTTTCGCTCTCTCTTGGGGCTAATATTCACTTCACTCAAGCTACCTTTTTAGTGTTTTTCCTGAGTACTTTGGGTAAGAGGAAAGGTTACGAAGATGCAGTCCTGCGCCAGGTGTGGGTTTGTGGTGTACCCAGCGGAGAAGATCAATTGTATTGATCAGGTAAGAAAGAGTTACTCATACTTTACCTCTAGTTCCTCGACTAACCGGTGCCCTCGCACATTGACTCTGTGCCGGTACCCCAGTATATAGCCTCGCTATTGTTATTTTACTATTGTGATTTTACTGCTGCTCTTAAAAAAAATTTTTTTTGGGGGGGTGGTATTCTTTCTTAAAACTGCATTGTTGGTTAAGGGCTTGTAAGTAAGCATTTCACTGTAAGGTCTACACCTGTTGTATTCGGTGCGTGTGACATCAAATTTGATTTGATTTTAGTTGGATGTATCAAAGACAATTTTTCATGTGTTCGACTTATTGTATTTATTTATTTATTTATTATTTCCTGCAGTCAATGACCAAAAGCACCCCCTTTGGCCTCATGGGTGGAATGTTCTTCATATTTCTCATAATTTCGTAAAGTTTTATTTTATTTTAATTTTAACAAAAATCTGGTGTATCTATGTCACAGTTTTGTTATATTTCAGTATTCTGTTATGTATATAAAGTGTAATATTGGGATGCAAACAAAAAATTGAATACATTTGAACTCTATATCTGACATGGTACAGGTGTCTTCTTTTTTTAAGCCCATAACCATTTGTGTTAGGTGTATAATTTGGTTACAAAGTAGACTTGTTTAAGACTACCGAGAATCAATCTGTTACCCTGATTTAGCCCTCTGTAGTAAAAGGTTAAGGCAAAGAATGAATTTAACATATTTATCATCTGACTGCTATTGCATAGCTCATAATGTCAAAGTGGCATGGTTTGCGTATTCAAGGACAGTTGAGCAACACTGTGAGTAAGTATATGTTTAAAATCACATTCTCCTGGTCTGATGTCAGACTGATCCATTTAGGTCAATTCAAAACACTGCTGTGTTTCTTTACGATAAATTAGATTGGAGTCATAATTCCTAGATTAGAACTCAGGATTTCATGTGTTTAACACACTGTTGTGATAAGGTGTGTTTTTTCCCCTTCTGTCAGAACTGGCACAAAGCATGCTTTCACTGCGACGTCTGTAAAATGGTGCTCACAGCCAAGAACTTCGTTAGCCACAAGAAGCGGCCATACTGCTCTGTGTAAGTAGAAATGTGTTATTTAACTTTCTTACTGAGGTTCGTTTTACTGTTTGGGACATTTATGGGGATATTTCCCTTCAAAATCAAAGTTTGTCAAGAGTTTTCAGACCTCCAAAGTGGTCTATGAGTCCACATACCTCACCATCGGTATAGATGCAGCCCTATACCTCCATCAGTTCCAAATGAATTGGGAAATTAGGCACTGAATGAAATGAGGAAATTGGTAGAACGATAGTACTTTAAAGTACTATGATTGTTGTCATTTGAGTCGTTCCAACAATTCAGTGCCTTTTAAGAAATGTAACTTGGTCCAAAAAAAACGTTTGATTTCACTTAATTTTAACATTCTGTCATAAAGAACACATGTTCAACTTTATTGTAAAAAATAAAATAAAAATCCATCTCGAGGTTAAGTAAAAAAATTACTATAGTAATTGCGAAATAAAATAACAGTGTTGACGATTTCATCTTAAATCAGCCAGAAATCCAATTTTTACGGGGGAATTGAAGCTTGTTTGCAACAGGGTGTGACAATTGAATGCAAGCTAAACAACAACAAAAAACATTTCTAGCCTGTCTATCTATGGGTAACAGGGTTGATGTATGCTTGACCCACTCAGTTTTCCACCACAAAACACCAGTAAATGCCCAAAAAGTGTAGAACCAGCTCACCTGCTTTTACATTATGATTTGACTATTTATTCAATGTGTCTTTTGAAAAAATATTTTAAAAGAAATAGTTTCACCATATTAAAATTTGAGTTCAGTTCACGTAACAGGGTTGGCCTTTAAAATGAGGGACAGACATACATGAAATAAATAATCTTCAGAAAATACTTTCTCAAAACAACAAAATAACTAGGGCTTTACAATGATGGTGAGAAATCTTGTGGTTAAGTGGGTTAAAATCTTCCAGAAGTCACAGAGGGTGCACGGAGGGAGATGTCACATTTTTTATTTCATATAAAAAATTGGATTTATTGAATTCTCCATGTGATCCATTTTAAAGGGCACTTCATTTAATATAACAGGCTTTTAAAACGCAATATTGGTGCACAATTTATACTTAAAATATTAAAGGGATGCAAAAGGCATTTTGTGGAACGACCCATTCAGTATCTTTAGCGTTCTGCTCCCATAGCACTGGAATTGTTGTATTATAATAATAATATAATATGCCATTTAGCAGACGCTTTTATCCAAAGCGACTTACAGTCATGCGTGCATAATTTTTTTTTTTTTTGTGTATGGCTGTAAATTTGTAAATTTGTAAATTTGTATTTGTAAATGGCTACGAGAATGGACTAGACCAAAAGAAGTGAGATTCTAAAAAATTCCTAAGATGTGTTGATGACCTCTCACCTCTAATCCCTCAGACATAATCCAAGGAACAATATGTTCACCAGTGTCTATGAGACCCCCATCAATGCCAAGAAGCAAGCCATTGCCAGCAGTGAGGTGAGTAAGCAATGTCACACCAACATGCAGCAAAAGTCCCCGTTACTGGGTCTAGATCTAATGCATCAGAAATCAACAAGTTGTTTATGTTTTCTAGATTTCGCATGTAGGACCTTGTATTCTACTTCAACATGGCTATTGAACTTGACGTGTGTGTGTGTGTGTCAATATTCTAGAATAGCAGTTTGAAACCGCTCCCCTTCGCCACTCAAGTCACAGTGGAACTTAAGTGTGCCGCACATTTCACATGAGTTAGTCATTCACTGTAGTCATCATGCATGGTATTATTGTGGAAGTATGATTACATGAGTACACTGTTGTACATACAGCATGTGGCATTGTGAATAATGATATTCATTCTGATTGTTATGGCTCAAGAGTTGATACATAGATAGACATCATGGATGATGTTGGTTGGGGAATGGAATGGAAGTGTAAAGGACGTCACGCTGCTTGCTTAGCGAGTACCGCTTCCTCCTGATTCGGCTCATACCGAGGCTCGAAACCAGAACCTCTGCTTCACAAACACACGTGACCGCTCTCCTGAAGCATCTTACTCAGTTGCGCCACCGAAAAGCTAGCTATTCGGCAGCGCAAGTGGAGACACTTCAGGCTGAGGAGTGAGTTTCACAGATCCTCATCTGCTACAGAAGCAAGATAGTGTTTGTCGTAATTTTGAAAAAACTGCTATCCAGTAATGAATGAAGCTCATTTCAATGTATTGTAGTCCCCTACTTGACCGAAACCAGAGACAACAGCATGCAGATTAGTTTATTTTTGTTTCATGTTTATTTTTTGTGTTTTTTGTGTTTTTTTATAGTTGATGCATTGTAACCTGTATTCTTGCAGTGAAGGAAGAAATATGTTTTTGACCTACTGGTATCCCTGGCTAGCATATTTGATTTAGTAGGGCTCTTAGTTAATGATCCTAAACAATCATTTTGATATAGAATTGAGAACGCTTAACCTGCATTATGCTGTTCTAAACAGAAGGGGTTTCTCCTTTATACTGGACTGGTGACCTCTTGTTGTTCCAGAATAAAACAACCAGTTACTAAAAAGAGCTAGATGTAGCCACTGAATTGTTCCTGCCGTGGAACTTTCAATGTGTGGAGGCTACAAATAGTACTGAGTGTTCACATGGAGCCAACATGATATAGGCAAATATACTCTACATTTATTATGCTTGTAAAAGAGTAACACAGTTTTTCCCTCATTATGAGAGCGAGAGAGAGAGTCGTACGCCTGCTTTTAGGAGAGCTTTGGGCCCATGTTGACAGCACAGGTTTGGAATGGCGAGCGCGACTCTGTCTATTTCTGTGGCTGTGACAGAGACACGACACCCCTTGCTGCCCCAGTTTACGTTTCAGGAGGTTAAAATTATACCCTCAGGAAAACAGCCTCTTCTCTCTTCCTCTCCTCCACCCTCAGCACCCCACCTGTCCCTGTCTGTCTGTATGTCTGGTCTGAATGTCTGTCTGGCACTCAGTCTCCCTTCAGCTCTCTTTGCCTATGTTAGTCATAGCATATTGCCATGGCTAACATACCTGCTAGCAAGACTATATTGAGTAAAATATAAGGCTCTAGCAAGACCTATAGGATTAGCACCTTTTGCACCACTTTACATTACATTGCCCTTACACTGCGTACATATAGCTTATACATATAGATTAGCACCTGTAGAACCAAATGTTTTATCCACACACTATACACGTGCAAGGATATCCTAAAATAACATTATACAGTAAATCTTTCATATTCCAGTTTTGTAATACCACTAGAGTATCATACATATCAGACCCACCAATGTTTTACAAAATAAGGTAGATACACACACAGTAGTTAAACAATGGTTGGGTAACATGATATTGTCAATCTCTTCCAGTGTCTGTCTGTCTGTCAACACCTCAAGTAAAAAATGGTCCATCAAGATCACTCATCACAGCATGTGACAGACTCTATGAATAGTTTTGGACAAAACTATTGTAGAGCTTCTAGAGAATTCTTGAAAACTACAGCCCGGTTCATTTATTTGCAGCTTCCAGCAATGCAATGATGTGGGAACTATCAAGCTGTGGTTATTATTAATAACAACATTTGGATGTTATCCCTAATCTCAAGCATGCAAGCTCAGGTTGCCTATTTTAAAAGGATAGGGTAATGTCATGCACTTTTAGGTTTAGCTTTGATTCTCTGTTTGCTCTGACTGTGAGATTATACATACATACAGTACCAGTCAAAAGTTTGGACACACCTACTAATTCAAGGGTTTTTCTTTATTTTTACTATTTTCTACATTGTAGAATAATAGTGAGGACATCAAAACTATGAAATGACACATGGAATAATGTGGTAACCAAAGAAGTGTTAAACAAATCAAAATATGTTTTAGATTCTTCAAAGTAGCCACCCTTTGCCTTGATGACAGCTTTGCACACTCTTGGCATTCTCTTAACCAGCTTCACCTGGAATGCTTTTCCAACAGTCTTGAAGGAGTTCCCACATATGCTGAACACTTGTTGGCTGCTTTTCCTTCACTCTGCCGTCCGACTCATCCCAAACCATCTCAATTGGGTTGAGGTCGGGGGATTGTGGAGGCCAGTTCATCTGATGCAGCACTCCATCACTCTCCTTCTTGGTAAAATAGCCCTTACACAGCCTGGAGGTGTGTTGGGTCATTGTCCTGTTGAAAAACAAATGATAGTCCCACTAAGCCCAAACCAGATGGGATGGCGTAACGCTGCAGAATGCTGTGGTAGCCATGCTGGTTAAGTGTGCCTTGAGCTCTAAATAAATCACAGACAGTGTAACCAGCAAAGCACCCCCACACCATAACACCACCACCTCCATGCTTTACGGTGGGAAATACACATGCAGGGATTTGGCTATTTGAAGAATCTCAAATATAAAATGTATTTTGATTTGTTTAACACTTTTTGGGTTACTACATGATTACAAATGTGTTATTTCATAGTTTTGATGTGTTCACTATTATTCTACAACGTATAAAATTGTAAAAATAAGGAAAACCCTTGAATGAGTAGGTGTTATAAAACTTTTGACTGGTAGTGTACGTGCAGTGAGAAAACGATCTGCAGGGCCGGCGCCAGAACAAATGAGTTGGACGGGCATTTGATTTCTATAGGCAGCCTGTTTTTTTTAACGGGACCTCTTGTGTGCACGTGCTTGTGCACAGATTTTGTTAATGGTTGTTTTAATAAGACCATAGGCAGCTTGTCAGTTAAGTTTGGGGAAGCTTATCATTTATCCTACCATTTCTACCTATCTGCGTGCCAGTTATGATTATTTTTATATGCGCATTTGCATTTTCCTGGAACAGTTTCATTTCAATAATAACCTTTTAGTTTCTCAAAATTGTCACGTGGTTAATCACAAAAATATGAATAAAAATGATCATCTAAAAGTTTAAAATTAACTAATGCAAGAGCACCTGCCTTTGCCATATGGACACATTGATAGCCTACACCGTGATTCATTTGCGGCTAAAGAAATTAGTGCATGGAACACAGAGATACAGTGGGGAAAAAAGGTATTTAGTCAGCCACCATTGTGCAAGTTCTCCCACTTAAAAAGATGAGAGAGGCCTGTAATTTGCATCATAGGTACACGTCAACTATGACAGACAAAATGAGAAAAGAAAATCCAGAAAATCACATTGTAGGATTTTTAATGAATTTATTTGCAAATGATGGTGGAAAACAAGTATTTGGTCAATAACAAAAGTTTCTCAATACTTTGTTATATACCCTTTGTTGGCAATGACACAGGTCAAACGTTTTCTGTAAGTCTTCACAAGGTTTTCACACACTGTTGCTGGTATTTTGGCCCATTCCTCCATGCAGATCTCCTCTAGAGCAGTGATGTTTTGGGGCAGTCGCTGGGCAACACGGACTTTCAACTCCCTCCAAAGATTTTCTATGGGGTTGAGATCTGGAGACTGGCTAGGCCACTCCAGGACCTTGAAATGCTTCTTACGAAGCCACTCCTTCGTTGCCCGGGCGGTGTGTTTGGGATCATTGTCATGCTGAAAGACCCAGCCACGTTTCATCTTCAATGCCCTTGCTGATGGAAGGAGGTTTTCACTCAAAATATCATACGATACATGGCCCCATTCATTCTTTCCTTTACACGGATCAGTCGTCCTGGTCCCTTTGCAGAAAAACAGCCCCAAAGCATGATGTTTCCACCCCCATGCTTCACAGTAGGTATGGTGTTCTTTGGATGCAACTCAGCATTCTTTGTCCTCCAAACACAACGAGTTGAGTTTTTACCAAAAAGTTCTATTTTGGTTTCATCTGACCATATGACATTCTCCCAATCCTCTTCTGGATCATCCAAATGCACTCTAGCAAACTTCAGATGGGCCTGGACATGTACTGGCTTAAGCAGGGGGACACTTCTGGCACTGCAGGATTTGAGTCCCTGGCGGCGTAGTGTGTTACTGATGGTAGGCTTTGTTACTTTGGTCCCAGCTCTCTGCAGGTTATTCACTAGGTCCCCCCGTGTGGTTCTGGGATTTTTGCTCACCGTTCTTGTGATCATTTTGACCCCACGGGGTGAGATCTTGCGTGGAGCCCCAGATCGAGGGAGATTATCAGTGGTCTTGTATGTCTTCCATTTCCTAATAATTGCTCCCACAGTTGATTTCTTCAAACCAAGCTGCTTACCTATTGCAGATTCAGTCTTCCCAGCCTGGTGCAGGTCTACAATTTTGTTTCTGGTGTCCTTTGACAGCTCTTTGGTCTTGGCCATAGTGGAGTTTGGAGTGTGACTGTTTGAGGTTGTGGACAGGTGTCTTTTATACTGATAACAAGTTCAAACAGGTGCCATTAATACATGTAACGAGTGGAGGACAGAGGAGCCTCTTAAAGAAGAAGTTACAGGTCTGTGAGAGCCGGAAATCTTGCTTGTTTGTAGGTGACCAAATACATATTTTCCACCATAATTTGCAAATAAATTCATAAAAAATCCTACAATGTGATTTTCTGGAAAAAATGTTCTCAATTTGTCTGTCATAGTTGACGTGTACCTATGATGAAAATTACAGGCCTCTCTCATCTTTTTAAGTGGGAGAACTTGCACAATTGGTGGCTGACTAAATACTTTTTTCCCCCACTGTATATGTGACCGACCGGCTCGAATTCGGTCTTTTGTAGCAGAATTTGAAATTGTGTTTTTTACATTGGCTAAAAGTAGAGACTCAGAGTTAGAAAATGGTATATCATACACTACAGATGGGGAAAATAATTCTGCTTTGAAAGTTGATAAACTTGTAACCTCACTTTTGAGAAAATGGCCCTTGAATGTTCTTCTTTGTCTGCACCCATTCAGCATCGTTCACACCCTCTTAAGCTTTAGCCCCACCCATCTCTTTAAGGATTCACATGGGAGGCTATGTAATAATATAATAATATGCCATTTAGCAGACGCTTTTATCCAAAGCGACTTAGTCATGTGCGCATACATTTTTACGTATGGGTGGTCCCGGGGATCGAACCCACTACCCTGCCGTTACAAGCGCCATGCTCTACCAATTCAGCTACAGGGGACCACAGGTCCTATGTACTAAACAACCAAAGATTTCATGACTAAAGGCTGGTTTATACTATGGGTGTGTTCGTAAATGTAATCTGGAGTGCCAGAGTGTGCTCTGGGCGTTTGTAAACTGAGAGCGTTGTCAGATTGTCCATTCGTAAATTCAGAGTGTTTCGGTCTCGGAGCGTTCAAAGCGCACACTGGACACTGGCCGGGGAGTAGGGTTGATCCGAACGTTCTTCCCTAACAGCAGTGAAGCACCCAAGCTAACTGGCTAACGTTGGCTAGCGTGTTAGCTAACAATTGAATTACGCTTTTTTGCCAACGTTTACTGAGACTGGCCATATTCAACGAATGTTCAGCGTTTTGTAAATTTGTCAGTTATTCTGCGCTCTGGAACACTCAGATGAGAGTGCTCTGAAATCGGAGTAGATAGCCAGAGCGAATTTACCAGCTACGTCCATCAACAGTTGTCACAGTGACATCATAAACATTCTATTGAAATAGTTACTTGCATATACAGTGGCTTGCATTTTTCCTATTTTGTTGCTTGGGGGGTTTGTATCATTTGATTTACACAACATGCCTACCACTTTGAAGATGCAAAATATTTGTTACAAACAAGAAATAAGACAACAAAACTGAACTTGAGCGTGCATAACTATTCATCCCCCCCTACCAAAGTCAATACTTTGTAGAGCCACCTTTTGCAGCAATTACAGCTGCAAGTCTCTTGGGGCATGTGTCTATACGTTTGGCACATCTAGCCACTGGGATTTTTGCCCATTCTTCAAGGCAAAACTGCTCCAGCTCCTTCAAGTTGGATGGGTTCTGCTGGTGTACAGCAATCTTTAAGTCATACCAAAGATTCTCAATTGGATTGAGGTCTGGGCTTTGACTAGGCCATTCCGAGACATTTAAATGTTTCCCCTTAAACCACTCGAGTGTTGCTTTAACAGTATGCTTAGGGTCATTGTCCTGCTGGAAGGTGAACCTCCGTCCCAGTCTCAAATCTTTGGAAGACTGAAACAGGTTTCCCTCAAGAATTTCCCTCTATTTAGCACCATCCATCATTCCTTCAATTCTGACCAGTTTCCCAGTCCCTGCCAATGGAAAAACATCCCCACATCATGATGCTGCCACCGCCATGCTTCACTGTGTGGATGGTGTTCTTGGGGTGATGAGAGGTGTTGGGTTTGCGCCAGACATTTTCCTTGATGGCCAAAAAGCTCAATTTTAGTCTCATCTGACAAGTACCTTCTTCCATATGTTTGGGGAGTCTCCCACATGCCTTTTGGCGAACACCAAACGTGTTTGCTTATTTCTTTCTTTAAGCAATGGCTTTATTCTGGCCACTCTTCCGTAAAGCCCAGCTCTGTGGAATGTACGGCTTAAAGTGTTCCCTATGGACAGATACTCCAATCTCCGCTGTGGAGCTTTGCAGCTCCTTCAGGGTTATCTTTGGTCTCTTTGTTGCCTTTGATTAATGCCCTCCTTGCCTGGTCTGTGAGTTTTTGTGGGCGGCCCTCTCTTGGCAGGTTTGTTGTGGTGCCATATTCTTTCCATTTTTTTATAATGGATTTAATGGTGCTCCGTGGAATAATCAAAGTTTCAGATTGTATTTTTATAACCCAACCCTGATCTGTACTTGTCCACAACTTTGTCCCTGACCTGTTTGGAGAGCTCCTTGTTCTTCATGGTGCCGCTTTCTTGGGGGTGCCCCTTGCTTAGTGGTGTTGCAGACTCTGGGGGGCCTTTCAGAACAGATATATATACTGAGATCATGTGACACTAAGATTGCACACAGGTGGACTTTATTTAACTAATTATGTGACTTCTGAAGGTAATTGGTTGCACCAGATCTTATTTAGGGGTTTCATAGCAAAGGGGGTGAATAAATATGCACGCACCACTTTTCCGTTATTTATTTTGTATAATCTTTTGAAACAAGTAATTTTTTTCATGTCACTTCACCAATTTGGACTATTTTGTGTAAGTCCATTACATGAAATCCAAATAAAAATCAATTTAAATTACAGGTTGTAATGCAACAAAATAGGAAAAACGCCAAGGGCGATGAATACTTTTGCAAGGCACTGTAGTTGGAGTCTTTTGTTCAGACAGGTAGCTAGCTAGCTAAACAATTAACCATAATCCTAACTCATAACGTTACTAGCCTGCATGAATCTGCAGGTAGCTAACCAACCAGGTTCAATGTTAGCTAGCTAACATTAGGCTATAATTATCAATGCAAATAGCTCTGGATGCGAATAATATTACTACACAGATCATACATGTAACATCAGCTAGCTAGCCAGCCAGCTAATGTTAGCTGGCTAGCTAACAGCACACTTTAACTTGAAATGAAAACTACTTAATGATGTTTCCACTGGATATATGAGATGATATTTTGTTCTTTCACACCTAGGCTTGATGATAATCGAGGGGGAGATTGTTGAAAGATGTTTCAAATAGGCCTACTGTGAGGAAGTATTAGGCTTTCATTCGCAATGGATGTTAAAAAAACATTGACTGAGAAGATCAGCTTATCAATGGTGGTGGAACGTGGTGAAATCAAACATTCCCAAAATGCATTTGGTAGGCTATGCAAAGAGATGGGTGAAGTGACATGACTCGCAAACATCCATTAATACATTTAAAGTCCCTAAACTCGGCAAGAGTCTATTGTCCTGCTGATAGCCCATCAAGGGTGGGTGGCTTCTTTTGTATTCTTAAAAGAACTCCAGCACAGAGAAGAAAAAGGAGCCTTTTTAATAATTAAACAATGAATAAACCGCAACGTCGGCTAAAGCTATTGAATACACAAATGCATTTTACAGTTTTTAATAATGGCTGTACTAGAGACTTTAAAACCTTTTTTTTTGTTAGAACAGACTATATGGGGTTGATTTATAATTCGTTTAAAAATTATTATTGTATTTGTTGTGCTGTTTATACTGTTAGAAATGTAGCTTAATTAAATTGATTAATTGTATGGTGTTTCTATTCCAAGAAAAACAAAAATGCAATTTATAGTAGCCTATGTAGGCCTCAGGGTTTCCGTTAGGAAAACATGGCGCTGTACAACGTGACCGGTCGGGAGTAGGCCTAGGCTACTAAGCGACTGCAAGTGAAGAGCAAAATAAAATCGGCTAAAGCAATTGAATTCAGGAATTAATTCAAAATATGTGAAACATTTTGTATAAAAAAATAAAATAATAATATGTGTTTAGTAGCAGAGGCTTTATGGCTTTACCATCAACCAAAAACACAGCATCTACAGTGGTAAAAATATATAATTAAATTCGATTTCTAAAACAACTATTTCAAAATGCATATGTTTATTAGGCTACTGTGCAGTGTCTTTAAATACAATGCTCCTACTACCCTCCTTCTTGATCTCCTTCTTGGCAAGAGTCTATTGTCCTGCTAATAGCCCATCATGGGTGGCTGGCTTGTTTTGTATTCCAATGTATTGAATTAATGTATTAATTACAGTCATTTACCATTCTCATTCTAGGAGTGGAAACGTTTGCAGAGTTCACAAGCTGCTACACTTGTGGAAGAAAAAAAGTGTTTTTCAAACTGCCTCCAGCAGTCCATCACTACTGTAAACCGAGAACTGTATTCTAAAAATAAAAACACAGCATCTACAATGGTACAAATATATTATTGAATTAGAAAAAAACAGCTTTTACAATGCATATTAGGCTACTGTGCAGTCTGACAAAAACCAACAGGACAATGAGATGTTTACTGTAGCCTACATAGTAAAGTGCCTCATTCCTTACATAATTAGAAACGTGTAATTTCTGAAAATGTAGCTAGCTAGACTCTTACCCGTAAACATGGATGGACGCTTCTCCCTCTCTGTCACGGATGCCATGGTTGCCCTTAGTTTGAAGATGTAATCCGGAGACAGGTGTTTTACAACAGCCTTCTGTGTGTTCTCTTTTCGACTCCGTCTGCATATTTGCAATCAAACGGCAGAATTTTCTCCATCTTGTAAGCTCTAATTCCACTGATTTCAAAACTTGGTCCTCCAGAAAGTGGAGAGCCAACACTTATGCAGTTCTACTATGTGATATCTTTTAAAAAAGCCACGTTAGAAAGGATTACCTACACATACTGACCAGCTCATATTATAGACAAGCGTGCTACATGGCAGACCAATCCGAACTCATCTCTCGGCATGTCCAGCCCACTCATCTCAGCCAATCATGGCTAGCGGGAAGGTTGCTGTCTTTTTCCATGGCTAAACCAACTAGGCTCGTAATTTAACAATTTCATTCATATTTACAGATGGCATACAAGTTTGTTATTAAGGCACATGAAAGTTCACATGTTCCTGAAACGAGTCACATATAATGACGAGATGCTCATGTCTCCGCCTAACAATGCAAGTTATTTTCCCAGGCGGGAATGCAGGCGACAAGCTTAGGTCTGCATATTATACCCATAGAAACGCATTGGGCTCATTCAGGACAGATTTTGGCTTGAGTGAGCCCTCTTGCTTTGCCTCTTCCTCTCTGCAGAAACTAGCGAGCAAAACAGCGCCACTCTGTCTTATTATATGTAGCCCATGTATCAGATGCTGTCTGGCCAGAAAAAGTATGACATGCCATACTCCTTTTGTCCAGACAGCACCAGATACATGGTCTACACATATGGAGACAGAGGGGCGCTGTTTCGCTCGCTCAGATGCTTTATCTGAGATTGATGTGTCTTTCTGACAGCACGCAAAAAATGATTATTTTTATATTTTATTTGGACGGGCAAGGAGGTACGGTAGCCCATAATTCCGGCCCTGACGAACTGTAGTATTTTAAATAGACGTGAGCTCCGAATACTGCACCTCGTGGTTTGCTCATAGTGTGTGTATCATTGCAAGAGGAAAATGTGTACCGTCACTGCGCTTGGCTTACTGCTTGTTGTTTGTTTGCTTTAGCTGAAGTATCGGGAGGAGGGGGAGCGGTACATGTCCACGTTCCACTATGACATGAGATCCATGGAGCTGGAGCAAGCTCGCCGAGCCAATCAGCTGGCCAGCCAGGTGAGCTCCCGCCCCGGCAGGCAGAGCTCTTAGGCATGTTCCAATAGTCTAAGGCTCTGTTCAAATACTACAGAAATCCTTCCTTCCTTCCTTCCTTCCTTCCTTCCTTCCTTCCTTCCTTCCTTCCTTCTTAGAGGTGATCCCTGATCTGACCAGGTTGGATTGATGAAAACAAAATAGTCAATTGAATTTCACTTATCCAATCACTTAAGGCTAATTCACAGTCCACAGCTGCAGAGCTGCGATAATATGGCAGCCCATTGTGACATAGCTACTCGGCTCTGAGACCGCCATCCGCGGGAGATGCACAGACAGATACTGCGCACCTCCCCCAAAATTCCCAACCAACGCGGCTCCACATACACGGCTTCTATTCATTTGAATATGGTGGCGGTTGGAGAATTGGCTTGAGCCGCGCTGAGAATTCGGAAAGTAAAAGTCAACAGTCCAATATTCTAGAATATGGCTGTGTGGACACGTACACATTTGGACACTTTACTGATCTGTGACTGCCTCAAGAAGTGTATGGAGGGATGGATGCATTGAAACAAAATACTTAAACAAGTAAAGACCTGAGAGACTCCTTCCCTCATTGTCTTTCCTCCATGACCTAAGATCTGAAAGGACTTGTTTGGGGAACAGTATTGTATCCAGTTCTATTACCTATCAGTGGGCATGAAGGAAATGAGACATGGTTAGACAGATGCAATCTTAGTTTACACTATGGGCTTAATTCCAAATGTTATACTCCCACCCTTCCATTTGGCCGTGATCTTTATGTACCAGACAGGATAAATGTCAGCAATTAATCCTCTTTAATTAAGTACCCAAAGCTAAGTACACAAAACAGTCTGGCCCAGGGTTTCTATTAGCCGCTAATTGGCAATAATTAAATTGTTGCTGGCCAAATTGACCGGGAGAAAAAACTATGGTAGGCAGGCTGTCAGTGCTTCACCTTCCACTTTACAATGTGAGCTGGAGGCTGTATGCATTTTGAAAAATACTTAATTGTTTGAAACCTGAAAGTTTTACTTCATATTATGAGGCATGTCTTACCTTGCTTGAAAATCCGACCATAGAAAAGGAAATTATTCTATTAATATTTACATTTTAGTCATTTAGCAGACACTCTTATCCAGAGTGCATACATTTTTCATACTGGCCCCCTGTGGGAATCGAACCCACAACCCTGGCGTTGCAAGCGCCATGCTCTACCAACTGAGCTACAGGAGGCCTATTAAGACTTCATAGGCGGCATGTAAGTTTCAAGTTTGGGGAAGCATACAATTTATCCTACCATTTCTACCAAACTGGGTGTCAGTTATGATTTTGTGTATTTTGTGGACAGTTTCATTTCAATAATAACGTTTTCGTTTCTCAAAATCTTTGTCATGTGGTTAACCATAAAAATCTTAATTAAAATATGGACACATTGATACATCGTGATAATTGGTGGCTAAATAGCCTAAATAAGCTCATGGAACTCAGAGATGGCGATTTTATTTGATATTTTTAGACAATACAAAACATACACACGCAAACGACAACTACATCACACCTGCCCAGACCCACCTGCTCACACCCCCATCTCCAGCGCCTGCATCACTCTCTGCCACATTGCCTCAAACTGCACCATTTTGTTTCTCTCCGTCGTCCACACGCACTTTAAACATTCGGATAATAAAGCATTAAAGGCTGACATTGGTTGATTTTAATACTTCTGACAGCCAAATGTCTAACTCCACCCATAACTTTAAGATTTTTTAACATTCCCAGAAGGCATGGATTATTATAACCTAATGAAAAATGAACCTGGTAATCTAATTACATTTACTAAAACCTATGGGTTTAACCTTCTGAATGAATGATTAATGAGTTCCGAGAGCCGATACGTTACCCAACAAAATAATTTCAATGTATTTAGCCTAATTGTTTTTTATGGACTACACAACAGGAGGGCTAATTATTCCTATTTTTCGTCCCCTGCTATTAATTAATTTTGTCTGCAAGTCTCTATCAAAACATTTGGCTAAAAAGGAAACCACGCCATTAATTAAGAACAGAGATTTTGTTTTGTTTTTATCAACCAATGCAATGCCGGCACATTGACAAACTCAAATCTCTTTAAAGAGCCTCTAATATTGGGGAGACAACAAATAAAAATAAAAAAATAAAACAAAAACTTTAAACAGTCCATTCGCCACTGGATTTCATTCAAATTGCTGTGGCATGGAAGGTATGGTCATCCACCATGCCTGGTCCGCAGGCTCGCAGCTGGCTTTCTCTCTGAAACCAACACATCCATCTAGGAAGGACGACTACTACATTGATCTCCTTAAATCTTTAGCCTTGCCAATCAGAGCTTTAGGCTGCACCCCGTACTGCTTCAGGCGGAGTCCTGAAGAGTCCCACACACACACACACACACACACACACACACAAACATGCCTTATTACACACACAACTATGCACATAATCATACCCTCGGAGTGATGGGCTGTAGGGCTCCTGGTGGAAAAATGTCAAATGTTACTACTTACATCCTTCATTTCACCTGCCATGGCAACCAACATCGTTGGAGCTAGACTGGGAATCTGGAACCACACACCTGATGCTGACCTCTCCTGGCTAGGACACAGAATTATGGAGCACAGATTTAGAACACAATTAAAAACCATTCAGCAATATAGTTTAAAAGACAGTTACATTATGTCAAAATAGTTATGTATACCTTGTAGGTTGAAATGCTGGTGTTCAGATGTTGAACTTCACTCTCCAGGCTTTAGCGTTGGTGAATGCTGCTATCAGGCCCTCTATTTCCAGCGTTTTTCTAACTCTACTCTATTGAAATTATTGCAAGATCTGACAGCCGCTCTTGTGACATTTTAGACCTCAGGTAGGAACTCCTTTCCCCTGAGGCCACAGTTATAGGGAGGGTGAGAAGCAGGCGGAAGGCGTTGCTTAATTTGAAATACAAATCAAGCATGTTCCGTATATACACTGAGTGTAAAAAACATGAACACCTGCTCTTTCCATGACAGACTGACCAGGTGAATCCAGGTGAAGCTATGATGCTTTATTGATGTCACTTGTTAAATCCAATTCAATCAGTTCAACCAATTTCTGTTGGTGTAAAAAGGCAGTCAGAGAAGGCAGTTACATTATGTCAAAATAGCCATGTTCCTGCAGCTCTGGCCCAATATTCCATCCATCACTGCTTTTTTCATGTTCTCTACTGGATACAAAAATCCATACAGAGCAAAAAATATGTATCTGGGTGAATCGATCATTGAGACTCACATTCTGTAGTAGTCCACGTGCTGATCTCTTTGTGACTCTGGAGGAGCAAGGGCTGGGGGTGAATCAGGCTCTGCATCTGAATTTGCATCTTCCTCTCTGAGCTCTCGCTCTGGTTCGACATCAGCGAATGCTGCGCTGCTGCTACTGCTTGCCGGTAGTACTGATGATGATGAGCCATCGACAGCAGCAGAGGCAGTAATGCTACTGGTTGAAGTGCTAGCTAGGCTAATGCTAGTGGTTGTTGAAGTGCTAGCTAGGCTAATGCTAGTGGTTGTTGAAGTGCTAGCTAGGCTAATGCTAGTGGTTGTTTAAGTGCTAGCTAGGCTAATGCTAGTGGTTGTTGAAGTGCTAGCTAGGCCTAGGCCTGTCACTGGGCTTGTCGTCATTGTGTCCTCGACGATGATGGAAGTATTGTCTTTTTACTAAAGAAATGCGTTAACTTAGGTACTTTTTTATTTTCTCTGCCCCGCTCTCCTGAAAGCGTCTCATCACAGAGTTTTTGCTGCAGTTTACTTTGGAATCATATCGTGTGAAACAATGCATGGGCTGTCAGCACAGTCATGGCTAGAAGGGATCCAGCTTTTGTCAAATTAACATCAAAAGTTGATATTTTTAGCATTTTAGCTAGCCCTAACCCTTTTCCTAATCTTAACTTAGTTCTCCTAACCTGCTACGAAAAGTCAAATCTAGTCAAATTTGGCCTTGAGCTGAGATTTATTTTTAATATCTATGCCCTGCTCATGAGGCCCCTTGATGATGTGAGGCTGGAGACAGTTGACTCTTCTGCCTAATGGTAAGTCTGCCACTGCAAAGGGGGTGTGGTGGATTTTAAAACACTGCCACGCTAGACGCTGGGAAGGTACTCATGACTATCCTTAACAGGAGGAGGCTATCGAGGAGAGGAGGGTTGTGTTCCAAAAGGCGCACTTGCGTTCTGCGTTCTCCCGTTCTTTCAAGGGTGATCTTCCAAGAACACCTGAGAGAGTATACTGCTTAAAATCCCTTACATTTTTAAATGTACTTTGATGTGACCTCTAACCTAAACAGGAAACTGTATCATCTTGCAGCCGGCGTCAACAAAGCTAGTTTTTATGCTAGCTCGCTATGTCTGTTTACATTGTTGCCAATGTAGCAGTGTGAGCAACTAGTGCAAGCAATTCAGTGAACATCTATTCCAGAATGGAAATATTTAACACGAATAACAAGTAAACAAGTTAAGAATCGATTTTCTCAGTACCTGTTAGTGAATGAAGCTGACACCAACCAGAATAATTTTATGTGGGGATCCTCCTCTCGCATATTGCTTGGTCTGCTGCTACATCGTTGTGGACGTACGACAGGTAAGCTTTCATGCATTATAGAGCATATAAGCTATTTTGCTTACTGTTTAAGAATGATAAATAGCCAGAATAGTAGTGTTTCACTGTGAAGCTAATATTGCATTAGGACTGCTGGTGTTTTATTTCCAATTAGCAGGCTTGCATTGTGATAAATTCATACAACTATAACACCCATGCATATTATTAAATGACACTGATGTTCAAGATAGCTTGGTGTTTGATAACTAATATTGATAGGCAATATGATGCAATCTAACAAGATTAGAAGGCCTAGGCTACTTCATCCTAATGTAAGCTACATGCATTGGATACAAAACAAACACTGGCATATCATAAAGGAAAACCTGTCCAATTTAATTATATGCATGCATATCAAACAGGAATATATATTAAATGAAATTAATACACCATTGTAATATTACGAATGTCTTTCTCTCTCCTTGCAGGAGATTAGACCGATGAACTGCAGCCCCCAGATGCCCAAGCCTCAAAACCAGAACAATGGGAAGACATCAACACTTGACATTTTTTATAAATATGATCCCTTATTGGTTTTCCTGTATCTGTGCAAGAATCCTTAGAACACAGTCCACCGTACAAAATACGTTAAAAGTTTTATTAGTCATATGTACAGGATAGACATAGTCCAATGAAATGCTTACTTGCAGGTTCTTTCTCGACAATGCAACAACAAAAACAAATAAAATATCATACGACCATAAAGTAAACGGCTCAGTTGAATAGAAAAAACATTTTAGCATCCGCAAGTGAGAGACATCCAGGAGATGAACGTTCAACATTCAAAAGCTTGTTCAGTACAGGAGGGCAAATTTAGTCATGACAGTCACAGGTTTTTTATACACAGGACAGGAGTTTACAGGTTTTTGTTCCAGCACTTCACTAACACATCATTCAACTAATTGTCGTCTAAATTGTAGACCATGAATAGTTGAACATGGTGTTTGTGCTGGGCAGGAATAAAAACCTGGGGCAGAAATCACCCACATCTGTATTTTAGAATGAGCTTAATATGTTATAATGAGCTGATAATTCTGCTTGATAGAGAATAACGTGTGGATCTACTTCTAACAGTGACTAAACTCCTGAGATAGTGATTTATCTGGTGGACGGGAGGTCCCCAAGTTCTTTACATCTGTCTGGGTGATGAGGTGGGATGTGCTTTAACTTGAGGAGAGCCGAGCAGAAACATAAGGCCAAGGGGGGAGAAATTAACCTCAATGCTCAAATGTCAGTGCTGGTTCAAGTTGCTGAGAACCACAACTACATTTGTTAATGTGCAATGGTTTTGTAAACACTTTTGCATATTCATAGCCTTGATCAAGTTGTCACCGATTTACTTTTTATTGATCATTTCATTATTCAAAACATTTTCATTATATGCAATGGTGAAACACAAGAAACACGAGGGGAGGGAAAAAGTGACAAGAAGAAAGTTAGCTAATGTTAGGTAAACAGACACTGCATGCATGTATTGACTGATTATGGAAGAATGCACACATAACTTGGCTGTCTAGCAAGCCTAGATTGAACAGAACACAGCCAGCTGCATTGCCTACGATTCTTTATCAGATGTTCAAATGTCTGACCTCCAAACCAGTCGGGCACGACTGTTTTGTCCTGCCAAACCAATGTCATTGAGTGAAATGAATGCATCAGTTGCCATCTGTCCCTGAAAACAAATGGGGAAAAAAAGATTTACTACATTTGTCATTAGCTGGCAAGCAAGTTCACCAGTTCAGGATTAAAAAACTGTTTGGGTCTTCACAATTGACACTGCTGATTTTACGATTATTTAATTTAGTTGTTCATCCCCAAACAGCTGATAACCAGGACAAGATCGCCTGCTAGCTAGCCATCGCTTCCGACGAGCTAACTTAGCTTGGCTAGCGGGCTGATAAACAGCAGTGACTCAAGATTTTAATTCATAATTCATATGAAATAAATAATTTGTTGAACATTTAAAAATAATTTGGTGAATAAATAAACGTACTACTTACATTTTACAAAGTTATTCCTTATTCCTATGGAGTAATTTCTCCCAAGTGGGGACTTCAGTCCGCCATTAATTCAGAAGTTTTTTGGAATTTTCTCTGCATCACAAGGTGTCATGGGATAGCCGGTGAGGGGAACAAAAAAGTATGCTCCCATGCATGTTTTGTTTTCCAGACCTCACAAGTACACTTATAGAACTTCTGGTAAACTCAGTACATACTCAGTACATACTTGTCTTTTTGCGTTCTTATGTTTCGCACTTGAAAAATAACAGTTGACTTCCGTACTCGCTATATACTCAAAGTACACTACCAGTGATGGAGTGCTGCATCAGATGACCTGGCCTCCACAATCGCCCAACCCCAACCCAAGTGAGATGGTTTGGGATGAGTTGGACCGCAGAGTGAAGGAAAAGCAGCCAACAAGTGCTCAGCATATGTAGGAACTCAAGACTGTTGGAAAAGCATTCCAGGTGAAGCTGGTTGAGAGAATGCCAAGAGTGTGCAAAGCTGTCATCAAGGCAAAGGGTGGCTACTTTGAAGAATCTAAAATCTGTTTAACACTTCTTTGGTTACTACATGATTCCATGTGTGCTATTTCATAGTTTTGATGTCTTCACTAATATTCTACAATGTAGAACATAGTAAAAATAAAGAAAAACCTTTGAATGAGTAGGTGTGTCCAAATTTTTGACTGGTACTGTATATTTATATTTTAATACAGTAATATCGGTTTTCATTTGAAGCGTCTTGATATCGTTCGCTTGTTATGCAAAGAAATGGGCAGCTATGTATTTATTTGTAGTCACTGTCATATTAGTTCTGAAGTTCTCGGCGGTCACAGAAAGACAGATAAACATCTTGATATTGTGTTTAGTGGAGATCGGTGTTTAAAGTGACAAAAAAACAAAGCATCTAATGACGTACTTAGCTGTTCTACGAGTTGTCTGAGGCAGTCGATAAATAACATATTATATTCTTACTTACAATAAAATTGACTCCAATGACATTATTCACCATTCGTTTCCTATTGGGCAAAACAAAACGCAACCAAAACAAACTGCTTTTGGGAAACTGGGACCTGAACAGTTAGCTAACTAACTCATTGATCCTGCTTTCTGGAACCGCCCCCATTATAATGATAGTCCTTAGTTGATTCTGTGTGCATTGTGATTCACCAGCAGGACTATCAGGCTAAGTTTGAGGAGAAGCAGACCTACTCGTACTCCGGCACCATCACCAATCAGGAGATTGTGAGCATGTCACAAGCCCAAAAGACCATCAGTGATGTGAGTATCTTCCTTCTTTGTATAACAAACACAAGTCTGAAGAGAAGATCTAAAACATAATAAAATAAAAAAGGGATTCATTTCGTATTGAATTTCAAAAAGGAACATAGGGAAACATAACACATAAACACACATAACGAAACAGAAAAAACACATAACAAAACAGAATACTTTTGATCTACATTAAATTGTCTAAAATGGCCCCTGTGATTACTATAAACTTAGTACAACTGCATTTGCCCTGCTATTAAACAAACTAAACATTTAAAGATTTTGCCATACAAGGCAGGTACAGGTAGGTGCTAAATATAGATGAGTACAATATGTATTCTATCGTAAGTGGAGTACAAAAGGGGACATGAAGAAAGAGTGACACAATTTACCTCTGTGGCTTACACCTCCCATATTCTACATAGACTGGGGGCTCCCTGGCGTCCAACCAACATAAAAACAACCCCCAGACAAACCTACACATACCTTTATCATAGTTATATACACACACACCTCCACCTTGTCAAATTTGCCTATTTAAGGTGGTTCAAAATGACACAGAAAACACGTAGTTATGGCATAAGGAACGTTCCTACACTTGTTATTCAGTAGTGGTCTGACCATGTTTGTGTCATAAAGTGTGGGGACATACTGTCTCCTAGATTGACAGGTCAGGTACACTGAGGAATATGAGGAAAGGAAAGGAAAAGGCAGCTTACCTGCCATGATCACACCAGGATACCAGATTTCCAAGAAAGCAAATACCTTGGCCAGTAGCGTAAGTGAAACTGCCAACAGAGCTCCCTCTATAGGGGCAGAACAGTACTTTGGGCGCCAGGTAGTGTTACCGTAAAATAACCAGTTGATTTCAGCTCATGACATTAGCTGTGATTATTATTCATTTTATTATTTCAGTGTTATAGCATGTTATGAGGGGGCAAATAAGATGTTACCATTTTTGTTTTTGTTTCTCTGTTATTCAGGTGGAGTACAAAAAAGGACACGAGGAGAGAGTGTCAAAATATACCTCCGTAGCCAAAACCCCTGAAGTGCTTCTGGCCAAAAGCCAAGGACAGATCCACAGTGATGTAAGGCATTTATTACAAACCCTACACAATCTGATTATGCTTTCATCCAAATGCAATTATGTCACTTTTGGTGTGTCCATGACGTAGTATTTTCCCTCTCAGTATGTCTACACTGAAGAGTATGAACAGCAGAGGGGTAAAGGCAGTTTCCCTGCCCATCTCACTCCTGGCTACCAAGTTTCAAAGAAAGCCACAGAGATGGCCAGTGGTGTGAGTAGAGGAGACACACACACCCACACACAAACAACAGAAAGATGCTCACACAAACTGATGCATTCACATACAAATTCACATTGGCAAAGTCATACGCATACAGTACACTAATGTTGACACTGTGATCATATCTTAGGTGAAGTACCGTCAGATGTATGAGCAGGAGATGAAGGGAAAGGCCACCTCAGAGGCTGGGGCAGCAGAATTCGCTTTTGCCAAAGAAAATGCTGGGAACTTCAGCCAGGTGAAAACAACTGGGGCTTAGGACACAGAAAATAGTTTCTGGGGTCTAAAGATACTTGTCCTGTCCAGATAAAAACCTACCTCCTTGGCACTTATGTCGATCTGAAAAAACGTGATAGGTATAAGCAATTACGTAGTAACTCTACCTTGTCCTCTGATAGGGGAAGTTTTTGCCATATTGCTTACACTCAATCTTCGCAGATCAGCGTGTTAAGAGGAAGGACCAATGAGGAATTTGATTTTGTCTTGCCCTTGCTACTCCCCCTTACATGTTTTTTTCAGGGGGGGATTAATAAGGCCATACAATTATTATTAACGGATATAATAATTTTTCTATGTGAGGCGAGCGAGCAAATTCTATATATTTTTTAAGTAGACCCTCTTGTTAAAAAATACTATAGCCACCTTACTTCAACACCTAGCGACCTAATCAAGAGATGTTAGCCTCTTGGGGAGGATGTTCTGAGAGGAAGTTGTGTATCTGTTAACTGGAAGCTTAAGTACATAATTTTTTGCTATAATTATGCAATTTGTCAGTACAACTTTTAAAACATTCTGATGTATTATTTTATTTTTGAGAAAAGTGAAGAGGGAGACCTGTTCAATATTTAATTACATTCGAAATGCCTAATTGATTATAGGGCTGCAAGTTAAATTCAATTGGTAGTGGTTTTATTGATAAATTAAACTACTGAAGTATCTTATCCCCAAAGAGCTCCCATTTGAGGACTGATGTCCTGTCATATATTCTAGAAGTACAGTTCTTGTACTGCTGATAGTTGTTTAACTTTTACAATGCCTCTCAGAAAGACAATAACCCACAACACTCTTCCAGATGTGTTCTTCAATTGGTATAAATTGGTCTGGCTCCAAACCGTTTTTCAGTTGAAACAGACAACACAAATTGTCCGTACAATGAGTAGCCTGATATCTGATACATGTACAGTACCAGTCAAAAGTTTGGACATACCTACTCATTCAAGGGTTGTTCTTTATTTTTACTATTTTCTACATTGTATAATAATAAACTAAACTATGAAATAACACATATGGAATCATGTAGTAACCAAAGAAGTGTTAAACAAATCAAAATATATTTCATATGTGAGATTCTTCAAATAGCCACCCTTTGCCTTGATGACAGCTTTTCACACTCTTGGCATTCTCTCAACCAGCTTCACCTGGAATGCTTTTCCAACAGTCTTGAAGGAGTTTTCCTTCACTCTGCAGTCCAACTCATCCCAAACCATCCCAATTGGGTTGAGGCCGGGGGGATTGTGAAGACCAGGTCATCTGATGCAGCACTCCATCACTCTCCTTTTTGGTCAAATAGCCCTTACACAGCCTGAAAATGTGTTGGGTCATTGTCCTGTTGAAAAACAAATGATACCACTTAGCCCAAACCAGATGGAATGGCGTATCGCTGCAGAATGCTGTGGTAGCCATTCTGGTTAAGTGTGCCTTCGATTCTAAATAAATCACAGAGTGTGTCACCAGCAAAGCACTCCCACACCATAACACCTCCTCCTCCATGCTTTATGGTGGGAAATACATATGCGGAGATCATCTGTTCACCCACACCGCGTCTCACAAAGACACGCCGGTTGGAACCAAAAATCTCAAATTTGGACTCCAGACCAAAGGACAAATTTCCACCGGTCCATTGCTCATGTTTCTTGGCCCAAGCAGGTCTCTTCTTCTTATTGGTGTCCTTTAGTAGTGGTTTCTTTTCAGCAATCCGACCATGAAGGCCTGATTCACACAGTCCCCTCTGAACAGTTGATGTTGAGATGTTTCTGTGACTTGAACTCTGTGAAGCATTTATTTGGGCTGCAATTTCTGAGGCTGGTAACTCTAATGAACTTATCCTCTGCAGCAGAGGTAACTCTGGGTCTTCCATTCCTGTGGCGGTACTCATGAGAGCCAGTTTCATCATAGCGCTTGATGGTTTTTGCGACTGCACTTGAAGAAACTTTCAAACTTCTTGAAATGTTCCGTATTTTTATATATGCCATTTAGCAGACGCTTTTATCCAAAGCGACTTACAGTCATGCGTGCATACATTTTTGTGTATGGGTGGTCCCGGGGATCGAACCCACTACCTTGGCGTTACAAGCGCCGTGCTCTACCAGCTGAGCTACAGAGGACCACATTGACTGACTGATTGACTGACCTTCATGTCTTAAAGTAATGATGGACTGTCATTTCTCTTTGCTTATTTGAGCTGGTCTTGCCATAATATGGACTTTTATGGCAAGGGTGGCTATTTGAAGAATCTCAAATATATTTTAATTTTTCTAACACTTTTTTGATTCCATGTGTGTTATTTCATAGTTTTGATGTTTTCACTATTATTCTACAATGTAAGAAATAGTAAAAATAAATAAAAACCCTTGAATGAGTAGGTGTGTTCAAACTTTTGACCGGTAGTGTATATCTTCACAGAGATGGTTGTTGTACTATGTTTGAGATTCTTTAATGCCGTAGAGATGCCTAAATCTTTTAACTTCCAGTTGTTTTCACTTTCCAAACAATTTTTCCCCATATCTAATAATATTTTTTATTTAATCAATATTCTTTGGATTGTAGTTGTCACTATTTGATATGATTTGATGTATGCTAAAGTAGGTGCAACCCATCGGCTCTGAAGTGGGTGAAACAGCGCCGTACCTGGATGATGCTGGTACCTAACTAGACAGAACGTTTTCTCGCCTGCAAAAATGATCGCTATTCACATAAGGCTTTGGAATTAGGATAGCGTATTGGTGTCTCTGTCAGACAATGACTTGAGTTTAGAAAACTAGGTGAGATTGACGGCAGTGTGTGCATGTATTCATACCCTTATATAATTTGCTGAATTGTTTGCACTGTACATATTGGATGTGCATTATGTGATAACTATAGGGCGTGCAGACTTTTCCAGCCCAACACAACAATACTCAATTCAACTAATCAAGGTCTTATGAATCAAATGTGTTTGCCCGGAACAAAAGTCTGCCATACTCTGTAGCCCTGATCCCATTGTCTCTGTAGTATTGACTGTGTGCTGATGTGTTTTCCTCCTTGCAGATTGCCTACACTGAAGATTACGAGCAGCAGAGAGGGAAGGGCAGTTTCCCAGCCATGATCACTCCTGCCTACCAGCTTGCCAAGAAAGCTCAGGCCCACGCCAGTGATGTGAGTAGTGTCCCTGCTGAACACGTATGCTCCTCCACTTTAGGGGTGTCGGCTGCACAGAGTTGTATTGTGAGTGAATTTATTGGGGTGAAAAGTTGTATTGTGGGTAAATTTATTGGGGTTTCACCCCAATAAATTCCCCCACAATACAACTTTGTGCAGCAGACATCCCTAAAGCAGAAGAGCATACGTTGGGGTATGCGGGTGAATTCATTTTCAGTAAGGAACCACAATTGACAGACTATGTCACTATGGATTGGCCAATATATTGAGGAATTTAGTAAAGAGAGAGGATAGTTTAAAGGGATCCCTCCTTCTCTTCTTGGAAGTAATCACTGATATGCCATGACTGGATCTGTGAAAACTACGTAGTGGAAGCTTTACTTCTACCTATCCAATCATGTTTCTTCAGTGGTTCTGTGTTTACTTCAATGAAGGGAGGAAGGAAAGATTCATTTCAAAAACATTTTCCAAATAGGTCCAGGGATTCTCAAAACACACAATAGGATCACATTCATCCATCACCTTGTCTGGCGTTGCCGGACGGAATTTCAGGTCATGGTCACAGGGATAAGTAGCGTTCCCCGTGACTCTCACCAAGAATCCTGTGCTGTCATGTTCCAAACTCTCCACAGACCAAATTAGACTGTGTGTGTGTGAGAGAGTGAGAGAGCATGCGTGTGTGTGTGTTTGTAGTTGTGTGTGCCTGTGTGTGTGTTGCCGATTGTGTACAGCATGTATGAAGATGCGCTCACAGACAAGCTATGCAATCTGACAGAGGGGAATGTGTGACCGAGGATTCTTTCGTTCCTTTTTAATCTTCCTCTGCTTCTCTTTCCCTTTTTAACCCCCCAGCTGAAATACAAGAAGGACCTGAATAAGATGAAGGGCTCATCCCACTTCCACAGCCTGACCAGTGAGGACAACCTGGCCCTGAAGAGCGCCCGCAAAATCAACAAGATTGTCAGCGAGGTGAGATAGACCTGAGAAATGGGGACATGAGAAATGGGGGCAAAAATTGGGGGGGAAAGATGGGAAGGTTGTGGGTATATAAATGTAGAGCACACCACAAACAATGCGGATAAAGAAAGAAACAGAAGAGGACAAAATCATAACAAAAGTCCACTTATTTGCATTGCCGTGTTCCACAGTCATTAACATAGTTTCCCAGAATCTTTCACATGTAAAAAAAAAAATATTTGATGTCCGCTCGGCCCTATGGACTTAGCTTAACTCCATGGACAGGGAAAGGTTAGCGAATTCTATCTGTCTTTGAGCACGTTGACAAATGGAACACGTTAGCTGGAGCATCTATTCTGAACCATTTCTCCTCTTACAAATCACCTCGATAAAGATTCTGCTGTTATTCAGCTGATGTTCTGTGGAGGTCAAAGGTCAGGAAAGTCTATGCAGGGGGCAGATTCATACAGAGTGACATCATCCATACACATCATCCTTAGAGGTGGAGCTTGGGGCGTCAGGATCGAGCTCAGAGACACATTCGGGGTTCCAGTTGGTCTATGTGTCTGTTTGACTGTAATGTAACACCTATTGTAATGTGTGCTCTGTTTTCTCCCTGGCAGGTTGAGTACAAGAAGGACCTTGAGAACACTAAAGGCCACAGCATCAACTACTGTGAGACGCCCCAGTACAAGAATGCATCCAAGGCCGCCAAGTTCAGCAGCGATGTGAGGAATGCATGAGCAACACGGCAGATGCATGTGCAAAGATGCTTTTCATATGGTGTTGCTATGCAAAGTATACTATACTAGTTTAAGCACTAGCTAAGCATTGCCCAAGTGTCATAGTTTAAGATTTAAACACAAAAATAGATTGGTGAACTACAGAGTATGGGGAATGCATATGTAATAGATGCTAGAACGGTTTGTAAATGGAAAACATATAACCATATACTATAAATAGCAGATGTGAGCTAGTTAGTGCTAGTGACCATTGTAGGGTGATGTCATCCTCCCTGAGACCTGAAGTAGTCGTCCTTGCCCAACCAAGACCAAGGTTTTGTTAGGGTTGTGGTAAGCACGCTAGCTTTGGGAGCACAACGTGTCATTGTGGATGGTGGTTCGGCCGGAAAGACACGGAACTCATACAAGGTAAGTTGACTGAGAACACATTCTCATTTACAGCAACGAGCTGGGGAACATTTACAGAGGAGAGGAGGGAGGATGAATGAGCCTATAGGAAGCTGGGGATGATTAGGTGGCCATGATGGTATGAGGGTAGGGCTGTTGCGGTCATGACATTTTGTCAGTCGGTGATTGTCAAGCAAATAACTGACGGTCTCACGGTAATTGACCGTTAATTAACATAAACACATTTAGCACCTACTAGCTTTCACACATAGCCTAAAAGCCACTGATGCAGACCTTTGGAACATCTACATTTAAAAAAGTCTAATAAATCCATGTAATACAGCCTACACCATCACAATAAATCCATTATTTATTTTAGAACAGGTCTAAAAGAAACATGATATGAAAGAAATAGTTAGTCATATTTCAGAAGAACAGAATAGCATACTCTGAGTTGTCCTCATGTTAGGCCCTTGATCTTGGCTATGCCATAGGCTGTGTGACTACACTAGTTTCATTTTAGCAGGCAAGATTTGCTTAGAATTTCTGGAATTATTGTATAATATTTTATAATAGAAGAATACAATTGAACATACAATGGGGAAAAAAAGTATTTAGTCAGCCACCAATTGTGCAAGTTCTCCCACTTAAAAAGATGAGAGAGACTTAGATTTTCATCATAGGTTAACGTACTATGACAGACAAAATGAGAAAAGAAATTCCAGAAATCACAAATTGTAGGATTTTTAATGATTTATTTGCAAATTATGGTGAAAAAGTATTTGGTCAATAACAAAAAAGTTTCTCAATACTTTGTTATATACCCTTTGTTGGCAATGACACAGGTCAAACGTTTTCTGTAAGTCTTCACAAGGTTTTCACACACTGTTGCTGGTATTTTGGCCCATTCCTCCATGCAGATCTCCTCTAGAGCAGTGATGTTTTGGGGCTGTCGCTGGGCAACATGGATTTTCAACTCCCTCCAAAGATTTTCTATGGGGTTGAGATCTGGAGACTGGCTAGGCCACTCCAGGACCTTGAAATGCTTCTTACGAAGCCACTCCTTCGTTGCCCGGGCGGTGTGTTTGGGATCATTGTCATGCTGAAAGACCCAGCCACGTTTCATCTTCAATGCCCTTGCTGATGGAAGGAGGTTTTCACTCAAAATCTCACGATACATGGCCCCATTCATTCTTTCCTTTACACGGATCAGTCGTCCTGGTCCGTTTGCAGAAAAACAGCCCCAAAGCATGATGTTTCCACCCCCATGCTTCACAGTAGGTATGGTGTTCTTTGGATGCAACTCAGCATTCTTTGTACTCCAAACACGACGAGTTGAGTTTTTACCAAAAAGTTATATTTTGGTTTCATCTGACCATATGACATTCTCCCAATCCTCTTCTGGATCATCCAAATGCACTCTAGCAAACTTCAGACGGGCCTGGACATGTACTGGCTTAAGCAGGGGGACACAGCAGGATTTGAGTCCCTGGCGGCGTAATGTGTTACTGATGGTAGGCTTTGTTACTTTGGTCCCAGCTCTCTGCAGGTCATTCACTAGGTCCCCCCGTGTGGTTCTGGGATTTTTGCTCACCGTTCTTGTGATCATTTTGATCCCACAGGGTGAGATCTTGCGTGGAGCCCCAGATCGAGGGAGATTATCAGTGGTGTTGTATGTCTTCCATTTCCTAATAATTGCTCCCACAGTTGATTTCTTCAAACCAAGCTGCTTACCTATTGCAGATTCAGTCTTCCCAGCCTGGTGCAGGTCTACAATTTTGTTTCTGTGCGAAGCTGACTTCCAAAGGGATTTAGTTCTTTGATGTGGACAGTGTATTTTATACTGATAAATCCATATTAATACAGACGAGGTCAAGGAGTTCGAGTTAAGCATGAAGAAAATTGTTGTTTCAGGACAATACTTCCCTCATGTTGCAATAATTCAATCCTCAGGATTTCAGATGGTTTTTCCTAATTGTTATGGAGCAGTCCAAGATGAAAATCGGCATATTTATCTTTTTAATGGAGAATACATTGCAAAAACTTTTTTCATTAGCTGAATAAAATAGAAATAATATTTTCTCCAAACGATTTGAGGGAGTGCGCACATGCGGCTATTCTGTGTTGAGTGGTTAACAAAGAAACAGGCACTCCTATATGCTTAATGTTGAGTTATTTATGTAACTTTAGTTGTGATACAAATGTTGGGCTATATGTTTTGATTTTTAATACATTCTAAGGCTGCATGATGCGACTCTAATAATGATTTGAAAAAAGTTGCATGAAAGGCATGAGCTCTGCTTTGTTTTTTTGTGCAGGCTGTGCACACTTCATCAGTCTGTCATTCACAATTTGACAAGCACTTGATAATGCCTCGAATTTCCCGGCTGCATCCACTTTGTGTGGCAGTAATGCCCCCCGAAAAAATCCATGCCTTTTGCGGCAAGTGGCCGTTGTGCCCTTGGGCTGAATATAATAATTATAATTCCCTTCTCCCGGCTGCGTGCCGAAGCTCCTCTCACTCACATGGCTCTCCTTCACGTGATCGGGTCTTGCTCACAGGCTACAAGTAAAGACAGACACATCAGGGACCCAACTGCGCGCGTCCTTATCCAATTCCGAGGCGCATATTGAAGATATTGGAAGAACTGTCCACATTTACTTTTCGTCAGCCAACAAGATGATTAGGCCTAACGAACAGCAAAAGCACTAGCCTATGTCAATCTGCTATCCCCCATAGTACAAAAGTTGACCTATACTGTGCAAGAAATATAAAGTGCATTCGGAAAGTATTCAGACCCCTTGACTTTTTCCACATTTTGTTAAGTTACAGCCTTGTTCTAAAATTCATTAAATTGTTTTTTTCCCCTCATCAATCTACACACAATACCCCATAATGACAAAGCAAAAACAGATTATTAGACATTTTTGCAAATGTATAAAAAAATTTAAACTGAAATATCACATTTACGTAAGTATTCAGACCCTTTACTCAGTACTTTGTTGAAGCAACTTTGGCAGCCATTACAGCTTCAAGTCTTCTTGGGTATGACGCTACAAGCTTGGCACACCTGTATTTGCGGAGTTTCTCCCATTCTTCTCTGCAGATCCTCTCAAGCTCTGTCAGGTTGGATGGGGAGCGTCGCTGCACAGCTATTTTCAGGTCTTTCCCGTGATGTTCGATCTGATTCAAGTCCGGGCTCTGGCTGGGCCACTCAAGGACATTCAGAGACTTGTCCCGAAGCCACTCCTGCGTTGTCTTGGCTGTGTGCTTAGGGTTGTTGTCCTGTTGGATGGTGAACCTTCGCCCCAGTCTGAGTTCCTGAGCGCTCTGGGGTAGGTTTTCATCAATGATCTCTCTGTACTTTGCTCCATTCATCTTTCCCTCGATCCTGACTAGTCTTCCAGTCCCTAACGCTGAAAAACATCCCCACAGCATGATGCTGCCACCACCATGCTTCACCGTAGGGATGGTGCCAGGTTTCCTCCAGAAGTGACGCCTGGCATTCAGGCCAAAGAGTTCAATTTTGGTTTCATCAGACCAGAGAATCTTGTTTCTCATGGTCTGAGAGTCTTTAGGTGCCTTTTGGCAAACTCCAAGCGAGATGTCATGTGCCATTTACTGAAAAGTGGCTTCCGTCTGGCCACTGTACCATAAAGGCCTGATTGGTGGAGTGCTGCAGAGATGGTTGTCCTTCTGGAAGGTTCTCCCATCTCCACAGAGGAACTCTGGAGCGCTGTCAGAGTGACCATCAGGTTCTTAGTCACCTCCCTGACCAAGGCCCTTCTCCCCCGATTGCTCAGCTTGGCCGGGCAGCCAGCTCTAGGAAGAGTCTTGGTGGTTCCAAACTTCTTCCATTTAAGAATGATGGAGGCCACTGTGTTCTTGGG